CCTACGCTGGGTGAATGGGAAAGAGGAGTATAAAAATGAGATAGAGAGAGGAAAGAGAAGAGAAAAAAGAAAAAAAAGGATTGTCAGTCAATGGGCTGACGCGTATGCAGTGGTGGCACTACACAAAAGTTGAAGGTACTCACATAGGCTTGTAGTCGTCAAAAAGCACAAGACGACTTTGACTGCACTTTGAGCCAACGAAAAACGAGGACGGTGTTGCAGTATCATCTGCACACAGATTGGCCGACCGCCCAGTTGTCGCAATGCGTCAGAACGCTTCCGTCTTTCAGAGGCGAATCGAGGGCAACGGCATAGCAGATAGCAATGTCTTCTTTGGTGCAGCAGACGTCGCCTTCCCCGTTGTCGGTCAATGCAATGAGGGTTTATGTGTTTTTGTGAAGGCAACCCCCAACCAAAGACAACAAAGAAGCGAAGCTTGACGTCGACGAAGTTGGGATAGAGGTCGAAGTTGGGATAGAGGTCCAGTCGAGAATTTATTTTGTAGAGTATCGTATGTCTTATGCTCGGGGTGTTCCACTCCAGCAGACACAGAATACGTGCCAGGAGGCGAAGTTGCGTTGCAGCGCCTGTCCTTGACAAAGGATTCGGAAGGGTGTGCTCTTCTTGTCGGGATGTGCGAGCCGCGTTGTCTGCGCAATAATTGCCACTGATCCCACAATGACCAGGTAGCCACTGATAATTGACCTCGTGGACTGTTTCAGTGACGTGGTGAACAAGCTTGACAACCTCATATGTTAACTGTTCGTGGCAACCTCGTTGAATGACTGACCGTAGGGCTGGTTTCAAGTCAGAAAACACAGACTCATTACTCAGACTCTCGGATTTGATGTACTCTAGAGCGAGATGTAAAGCCGAAAGTTAAGTCACCGAAGACGTAATGACGTGTGACAGCTTGATTCGCAGAGTGATTCGTCTAGCTGAAACCACCACGGCACTGCCAGAACCAGATGCTGTGGTGGAACCATCGGTGTATATGTGCACGGGGTGATTGTATCTTTTATGCAAGAGGTGCAAGCTTAATTCTTTTAGTGCTGATGAGAGCAAATTTGATTGTTTTTTGTATTCCTGGCATCTAAAGACGTACTTGTGAAAGTGTCGGGCACCACGAAGGATACACCAATTTTTCCGAAGGCGTAAAACCTGATGTAAACGAATCACAATGCGCATAGACAATTGCACTGAATTTCATGCGGGGCCTCTCAGTAGCGAAGGTTGCCAAGTGGTGGGAAGGATTCCGATCGTGTTGCCTGAGGTACGTACGCATCGTTTCAATGGTGATGTGCGTCACGATCAAGTAGTCCTGTGCAATGGCAAGGGTTTGAGTCGTCGAGGCACAACGTGGTAAACCAAGGCATACCCTAAAAAAGTGGGCTAGAATATTTTGGAGTGTGCGCAGGTTAGTTTTGAAAGTGCTAGATATAACAGGTAGGCTGTATTGCGGCAATCCAATAAATAATATCTTGTACAGCTGTAACATAGACTCGCTAGACACTCCGAGACTTCTTCTGGCTAGGAACCTGAACAAGTGACAAATGGTGGTCAGCCGCTTTTTCACGTAGTGTACGTGTGGGGTTTTAGGCAGGTTTCGCTCGATTATGACTCTCAAAAACCTGTGACTCCGGCTGCGTGACACCAATTGCCCGTTAATTGATATGCTGTAGGCGGACATTGGCCTTCTGGCGAAAGCCACGACTGTTCGCTTTCTACTTACGATTACGAGCCCTTGTTTACGTAGGTGGTGCGATGTCACTGATGCTACCTTCTGAAGTCGAGCGCGAAGTTGAAGTCAAGTCACACCTGGTGTCTGCGCACAGATGTCATCTGCATAAATGGAAAGTCGTACGCTGCCTGGCTGCTTGCCAACTAGTCCAAATAATGTTAGGTTGAACAATGTCCGGTTTAGCCCTCCGCCTTAAGAGACTCCTCAGCTACAGTGATGCTCGGGTGTTTGGCCATTCTCTGTCTGCACGTGAAAATACCTGTTCTGTAGGTAGCTCTGAACAAGCGTCAAGAAACGTCAAGAAACGTCAAGAAACAGAGCAGCACCTCACCGTTTGCAGGCCTTCTGGTGCTCTACATATGTCACCAAGTCAACTATATTGTCAATTGATGAGCGGCCTCGTCTGAATCCGCACATGTCATCTGTATATATTTCGTAGAACATTTAAGTACTATTCCAGATGGGGTAAAATCATTCTTTCCATAATTTTCCCACAGAGCTTGCGAGGGCGATCGGGCGGTAAGAGTAAATGTCCAAAGGTGACTTGCAGGCTTCGAGTAGTGGAATCGGGTGACTTGACTTCCATTTCTGTGGAACCATGCCAGTTTTCCAGGAGTCGGCGTATAACAGCAAGAGTACCTTGCGAGCTTGATCTTCTAGGTGACACCGAGCGCGGTAGGTGATGCCGTCAGGTCCTGGCGCTGAAGGACGTCTACATAAAGCAAGCGCAGCCCTCAGTTCTTTTATTTAAAACGAACACTCCAATTGGTGATCAAGTGAGCATACAGAACAGCTGGGTGTCTTTGTCCCATTTGAGTTGTCCCCGCAGACAATTCATCGACAGAAAGGTTCTGCGCCGTCAATCTCTTCGCAGCGTAAATGAAGTGCCAAAGATTTTAATGGGTGTGCGTCTGGCCACTCTCAGACCATCAAATGACTTCGTGCGTCTATAACGTCGTTCTCCACGACGACGAATCGCTCGCAGTTTCTCGAGTTCAATGTGCATATCTCTGCGAGATGAGCTCCCCAGTAGCGAACGTGTGGGACAGTAGGACACTCTGCATTGCGTCCTCTATGTTGAAGGGTGAGCCGCCAACATAGTCTTCTATGAATAAAATGTATTTTTACCAATCGGTGCACTCGACGGCTGTGGAAGACTTGAGACTTGGAAAGCCGTCAACCTTCAGGCATGTTGGGAGGGAGCACCTTGTTTATAAATCCGAAAACCAGTGCACTCTTCTGGCGATTTGCGAACGAGCGTGAGACGATACCCAAATAAATGAAGGAGATTTTTGTAGAAGCAATTATCATAAACTTGAAAAAAAGAAAAGAGGGCGTTGAGGTAACTAGACACAACAAGGCTCCAATCCTGCGACCTTCGAATAACACGTTCAATGCTCTGGCACTCATCTACGGTGGCGGTCATTCCACCGTCAACATTATGGGCTACATATGTGCATTAAACGTGGAAGCAGCAGCCAGCGCAGCATGGTGCCATTGCGGAAAGTTGACTGGTAGCACGTTGTTAAAAAAAGATGGTTTTTTCATGCAATAGTTTAGTAATAAGAAACATTCCAGCAAATGTTATACACAGCTTTGAGTGAGCGTTTGATCATAAATGCATGTTAACCATTTCCAGTTCCGACGAGACTTGGAATGACATCTTGAATGATTGGTACGAGAAAACCATGGGCAACCCTCCGAATCCGCACTATGTATCAGATGTCCTTCGGACAGCATCACCACGTCTAAATTTTGTTAAGCAAGTACTAGCGCCTCTAAAGTTTAATGCCATGCTTTCATAGGTCACAAAACTCACTAATTAGTCGACTCACACTAACTCAGATAAGGTTGTGAATTCGAATCTGAGTAATATCGGGTGAGTAAAACATTGATGAGCCTGAGGCAGAGTGAGCCAAATAAAACAATTTTAGCTAGTCTTGAGTCAGTCACTTTTGTTGAGCCAACTACTGGAATGTCGGTGTCCGTGTGTGCTTAAGCGTACACAAAGACTCCAGGATCAATCCTGTGTGAGGCGTGATCGCCCTTATGGCGCATGCGCGGCTTTCTCCCTCTCTCCTCCTCTTCTCTCCACTCTCTCCGCGCCGATGCATGCAGTGACTGCTAATCTACGCTCACTCCCTCCTTTTTTCACTCTAGGCATCCTTCTCAATGGCATTTACGCATTACGCATCCACTTCCCCTTTGTTATCTTCAGCGCTAACCCTTTCTCGCCTCGCAATTGCGGCACAGGCAGCGACTGCTAGCAAGTTAATTGATTGAAAAAAAAACTACAAAACCCAGAGCTCACGCGGCACAATCATTCACTGGCTATTTCTTATATATAGGCACTCTATCTTTACGTCAGCCTGTGGGTGTGACCGTTTCATAAACAGGCTACAGGCTCCAGGACGCAGGGTACCCGTTTTCTGTGACGTTGACTGTAGGTCACCAAGCTATTCAAGAAGCTGCAACCTGGAATGGTACCATTTTTGGAAACTGGTTACCTGACAGTTCTAGATCTAAGGGGGTAACATTCTCTTTGCACACAGGCTATGGCAAAGAATAACAACAGGTGTCGCGAAAGTACTATGTCATTTTGTGTTTACGACCCAGAACGAAATCGGAAGAGTGTGCGCGTTGGTCAAACAGAAATGTCAGAAAGTTAACAGTGTACATAAAAGAAACGCAGCATCAAACAACACAAGCTCAAGATTGTTGAACGTGCACACAGTCTGGTGTACTGTATACCTCTGAGGTGTGGTTGTGCATATATAGGGCAGACTTTCACGTGCATTAATACGAGGCCAAGGGAGCTTATATCAAGTCTCGAACGTGACCCTATCACATATTTAGCAATGCATTGCAATGAGTGCGCATGCACTTGTAGCGGGCGGTGACGCCGGTGATCGCGATAATTTTGTGTGCGCATACCAATTCGTATGCCGAGGCACACGGCGCAGACGCGACCAACATGCCTCACGTTATCTCTGGAGTGCCGCGGAAGATACGCAGCCACGCCCCTTTTGGTTGTCGCTTTCTAAGCCTGTTTTTATATGAAAATAAACTAGTCTTCTCAAAAACTTCAAGGAGTATAGGTGCCATCTTTTCGCGCCTCCGTGGGGCGAGTACGCTACAAAGTGGTGACTCGGACGTTTGAAAAAACAACAGCCATGTCAGACAAAGAAAGTACATGAAGCTTACCCACAACCAATGATTAGGAGTTAAAACTTCCTCATTTCTGGCCCAAAAACCCCAGGGTAAGGTTCAGCCAAATCGAAGCCTGCTTCGAGCTTCGACGCATCACATCGCAGAAGTCGAAATACCTCAACGTGGTTTCAGCACTGCCATCTGACATCGCTGACGTCGCAGATGATGTGCTCGCCTCCACTACATCGGAGAAGCCCTACGACGAACTAAAAAGCACCGTCCTGAAACGTCTTGAGGTGTCCAAACAGAGCAGGCTGCAACAACTCCTGTCTCATGAAGAGCTCGGTGACCAGCGTCCCTCACATATACTCCACCGAATGCGTCAGCTGCTGGGCCAACAAGCGTGAGAGGAGCGTCAACATCCATTGCTTCGCGAGTTGTTTTTGCAGAGACTGCCACAGTCAACACGGATGATACTTGCTGGCTCAGATGACGTGACTCTCGAACGTCTGGCTCAACTCGCCGACCGCATTACCGACCGCACTGAGCCACCAAAAATGTCTACTGCTGCAACGGGAAGGGCCGAACATGCAGACCAGTTAGGTCGCTTAGAGGACAGAGTTGACCGACTGGCTGCAGCAGTTGAAAACCTCGCCCTGTCCAACAAACACCGGCCTGCACGACATCGTTCACCGTCCCATGCTCGAAGCCCGCAGCACCGCGGACACTGAAGCGAGGCAGAGCAGAACATCTGCTGGTACCACCATCGTTTTAGAGAGCAAGCCACTCGCTGCACCCATCCATGCTCGTGGACGGGAACTCACCGGCCAGTCGCTAACTACGGAAAGCGACCTGGGCCATCGTTCAAGCCGCCTGTTCTTCGTTGTCGGCCGCATCAGCGGCACACGCCTCCTTGTCGACACCGGAGCGGAGCTATCTATCCTACCAGCAGCAGCTCAACATCTCCGGGGCGGCAAGTTCATTTCGAGCCTAATCGCAGTCAATCATACTGCTATTGCAGCATACGGAGCCTAGTCAATGACGATAGACATCGGACTCAGGCGTACATATCGATGGCTCTTCGCTATGGCCGACGTCAGAATTGCCATCCTGGGAGGGGACATTCTGAGCCACTTCAATCTTGACGTCAGCGTTCGCGATCGTCGTCTCAAGCATAACGTCACTTCTCTCGCTGTTGATTGATTTGTGGGGTCTAACGGCCCAAAACCACCATATGATTAAGAGAGACGCCGTAATGGAGGGCTCTTGAAATTTTGACCAGCTGGGGTTCTTTAACGTGCACCCAAATCTGAGTACACGGGCCTACAACATTTCCGCCTCCATCGGAAATGCAGCCGCACTTCTCTCACTGTTATCGGACTGAAGTCTGACCTGTCCTCATGCGGCATTTGCACTTTCAACCCAGAGTCAAACTTTCAAAATATTCTGGCTGAATTCCCTGAAATCACCAGACCTCGGAACACCGAACTGCCAATCAACTGCCTCTCCTCCACTGTATTTACAATACCATCGCGAAACACTAGACACGCATCGAATGGCAATATTTATTTACCTACAAGCTATAACTTATATGGAAAACGCCTATTGGAATTTCATGGGACTAAAGTTTGGAACCAACTACCCTCAGAAGTTAAAGTGGCAAGAAATTTTAAGGACAGTATGAAATTATTTTGCTTGCAGCATCAAGACATATAAATAGGTTTTTTTTTCACTTTCTCCTGCGCTAATTAGTGCTTTTACCCAGTCACTTATTATATATGACGATTATGATGAAACAAACTATATTTGGGTATGTTGTGAAAATGCATATATGTACACGCGCTTATGTAGTATGTATGTGCATATGTGAATAGTTATATGTATAAATAATTGTGTATATATGTGTTTATTTCAAAATATGCGCTAAAAGCTGCTTTTATGTACTCCGATATAGACCGATCACTAGCCAATGCAGGCTAACGGTCCAGATATCTTGTAATCTTTTCTTTGGTTTGTAATAAAAATCTGATTGAAAAAAAAAACACAAGGCGACGCATCACATTGTCACCACCGGACCTCTCTATATCTATCTCTGTCTCTGTTTCTCTATATCTATGTCTATCTCTATCTATCTATCTATCTATCTATCTATCTATCTATCTATCTATCTATCTATCTATCTATCTATCTATCTATCTATCTATCTATCTATCTATCTATCTATCTATCTATCTATCTATCTATCTATCTATCTATCTATCTATCTATCTATCTATCTATCTATCTATCTATCTATCTATCTATCTATCTATCTATCTATCTATCTATCTATCTATCTATCTATCTATCTATCTATCTATCTATCTATCTATCTATCTATCTATCTATCTATCTATCTATCTATCTATCTATCTATCTATCTATCTATCTATCTATCTATCTATCTATCTATCTATCTAGCTAGCTAGCTAGCTAGCTAGCTAGCTAGCTAGCTAGCTAGCTAGCTGGTCAAGGTATGCCTCTCTCAGGTTTTAAATATTGTAGTAATGAAATGGACCGGCCTGGCCATTTGAGGAGAGAGAGAGAAATAACAATTGTACATCCGGCGCGTAGGAAGACCCCAGCCTCGCAGGGTGCGGATGTTCCCTATCAAGATTACGGCTATTAGTAAAGTCCGATAATCTCAGAGTCTAGACCTCGAGGATGTTGAGCTCTGACTAGGCGACAGTTACGCGGGTGCCTCCGCGCCCGTTAGATAGGTTGTCGGCTCCTTTTCTCCGTTGCTTCGCCAAAGCCTCCTCAAGCCGCTGGATGGCCTTTCGATGTGTCTTCAGGTCTTCGGAGCGTATCCACGCTCTCACCTCTTCGCGATACGTGGCGTCCTGGCACTGCCCGTCCCCACTGTGCATAGCGCTGTTACACCCTCCCCACATGATGTGGCGGAGAGTAGCTAGTTCACCTTCCCACAGTGGTAATGCGTGGGCCAAGCAATTTATTCTGACGAATCGAAAGGAATGAAATCGCGGCAAGTTACTATTCCTCGGTATAGAATAGGGTGCAATGGAGGCATCCAATCTACATAGGCAGACGGGTAAACCACTCACCTCTTTACTGCAAGGGCCGCGTGATATCACATTTGAGACTGGGAGAGTTTTCAATCTGAAACAGTGGCAGATCTTTTTTTGGTCATGTAGATACATATCATGCTTTACGGGCAATATGGAGTGCTTTTATTGTCGGAATGTCAATTCTTTCACTCGAAAGTGACTTGGTTATTGTCTTGCAGCAGATCACTCCAAACACTTTGGTGATAGTTGAGCACAAATAAGGATCAGTTGCTCCTGCACATTAGGTTAATTATAGATTCACTTTTCCCAGAAGATCAGCGTAGCCAGCCGGACTGAGAACTGATTAACCTCTTAGCCCTTTCCTTTTTCTCTCCCTTCAATGTGACAACAGGGAAATAGCCCATGCACAAAGCCCTGTACCTTCTTGACTAGCCTAGTTGATATGCCGTTCTATTCTTATCGTCACATAACCCTACGTGAAAACATTTTGTGTCTGTAGGGTTCCCGTTGCAAACGTCAATGCAGAGCAGAACGCTTCGAAACACCAGGACGAAGGCGAATCTTTCCATGTTGGTAAGTGATTTAATATTTCCCGTCAACACTATAGCAAGGAAGCACTCCTCATTTTGCATTTATTAGCAGAACTTTCTTTTGAGCGCGGAGAGTACAGAAAAAATGCAAATTCCATGTGGCTTCTATGACTCTTGTAGAGTTTCATAGTAATCTCACATATACTAACAAATTAATTAGAAAGACTTTCACATTGCTTAAATAGGCAATATTTGTGATGCAAACAAGTTGAAAAAATAAATAAAGCGTGCTCTGCCACCTAAAGGTCATCACATGAATATTCGAAGATCCTCACAATGCAATACAATGAACTCTTTCAGTACCACTCTAAATTTCCGGACACATCAACTTTGGTTACGATGTCCTAATTTTTATCAAAAGATGTGACCTTCAGTACGAATGCATTGTCATCGTCTGTTCTTTTCTGAAGAACTGCTATAGAATATTTTGTAATTTGAGGTCTTCTGTTGACAGTTCTCACGCATCATTGTCACAGTGACAAAGAACTACGTTTGTTTTCAGGGCAAATTCATGCGGCCGAAAACAGAACCACCTTGCCACAGCCAGTGTGCAGCAGCAGTTCCTTTGATTATGCCGTACTCAGCCCAAGCCGTACGGTCATAGGAGCTTCAGCGTGTGGCGAAAGCACCGTGCGGTAAGGGCAAAATTTTAAGCGCCATTACAGGGAAGCCAGCTTATCGGATGTGGCATAGCAGTAGCGTTTGACTTCACAGAGAAATCCGAGCAGGTATGCGTCCTCAACTACAGCATTGAAAAAATGCATAGAATTGTCTGCAAGCTTGTAGCTGTTATTACGCATCTCCGCCGATCTTCAAGTTTTCGCATAGAATGTGCTGTTCGTTCAGCACAAGCCTGGCGACACAGCTGTTCTGGTCGAGTATTGCCGCGTGTCGTGGATACAAAACCGCCGTCCTCATTAACCAACACGCTCTTAATCACCACCCAAGCATTCCGTACAGATGATTAACAAGTGATAGTGAAGAACGGAGCCCCGGTATTTACCATGTTCCGTCTCCGTCAATTGTTTGTTATGTTACTACCGAACCCTTAATCGGTGTTTGGTGCCCGTGTGTTCTTTCATTATTTTGCGGACCAGTATTCTGAGTAAGGAGATTGGCTAAATTTCTGAGGCACATGCGCAATACTGGAGTTTCTAACCACAGATGCGTTATAAAAGAAGTTCGCCACATGTAGCCGATAGAAAGTTATCAGGATCAAGAGTCAGCATGCGCTCAATGGCAGGAAGAGAATTCTGTAAAAATGGTTAACAAGAGAACCTGAACTATACCCAGCTACTCTGTTGTGGTCCAGCTTTGCACGATTTAGTGACATCGGGGAAATTTTTTTCTATTCAAAATGCTCAAATGACAAGGAACAGATGCACATGGGCCATATGTGTCTCCATATGAGACATTGCCTTCAGAATAGAAACAGGTACTCAAAACGTCAATGGCAGTACCCAGCATAGTATCCAGCAACGGTCCTCTAGTTATACAGACGCTTGAGCTGCTTAGATGCCATGCAAATGGATGGAAAACATTTTAAAATGTCACAAAGCTCGCAATTTCGCAGATTAGTGCATGTAGGGTGAACAAAAATGCTTTACTATATGTCGCTATTGCATTGGAAGAGCATGTGAATAGCGGTTTTAAATATTAAGTCTTTATTTTACAGCGAAAGCTGTTATGAGATCACTTTTCGGTTCACGTGCAGTTGTTGTCCGCCGTCGCCGCCCACACCACCACCGC